GACCTTGTATACCTGCTGGAGAACTTTCTGGTGCATTGGCTGTGGCTCCTGGGCCAGACCCTACTCCTGTCTAAAGCGGTGGACCCACCTAGGACAGGTGCCAGTATTAGAGGTTGAATTTGTTGGTTCGCTTTACATTCTTTTTCTTTTCGGGAGGAATACTGGCTTCAGGGCCCTGAGATCAGGGTTCCCACACTCTTTCCGTGTAAACCCCAGCAGATTCCCGAAAGCAACCTAATGCTTAATCCCCCATCCCTCTGTCCCCCACTACCAACCCCCAAAGGTTTCCCCCTACTAGCCAGGCTTTTAAGTCACTAACTGAGAGAAACATGATGAAAAGCGTCAAATTGTTCCCTAATTGAAAATACATTGGGGGGGGGAGTGTGCCCTGGCAAAATATCTGGGATCCCTGCTTTTGATCCCTTGCTACTGCCTCTGTTCTCCAGTCGCTGATAAAACACTCATCGAGCCCCTTAGTGCCTTGATTAACAGGCAGATTAACTCTTACAGGGGTTGGGAACAGCTTGTCCCAATCGATGTCATTTAAAAAGCGGGGCAGACTGCGCTTAGTTCGGTCCTGGCTGCTGGCGTGAGCCATGAGCCAGCCCTGACATTTGCTCTCTCCTTCCCAGTCTCAAAATCCCGAGCTCCAGGCCCATGTGTGTTTCCAGCTCCTGGTCAAAACAAATTGTACCAGTCAGGCCCAGGCCTTTGACCAGGCAGCTGTCTCAGTTGCCCTTTAGAGAGGATTGAGGCGGCCTTAGCTAGCTTTTCATATAAAGCTGAACTCTTGCCTCTTTAATACAGAGGGTAGAGGGACGGGAGACTTGAAGGAATGTCCCGCGTTGGAGGAATAGAAAGGGAACTTTCCTAAACATCCTATCTGCAAAAATCCCAAACCGATGGAATTTCAGAGTGGCCTACACGTTAGGAACTTGGAGCCTAGTTTCCATCGGGACACCCGCGGGTGAAGGCAGGCTTGGGAGTTAACTCGCCACCTGCAAGGAATCTCTTTGCTGGGACACCCATCAGGACAAAGCTGGTTTTAAGCATGTTGGGGGTGAGGTGGGGAGGGAAATGGAGGAGACTGCCCAATATGAATAGGAAAGGGACGAACCCAGAGAGTTCACAGACGCACTAACCATTTGGCAGGAGGCGAGGAAAGGCGATGGCATCGCGTTTTTATCCAGCCATGCGCCGCCACAGCGTGGAGGCGCCGCTGGGTCGGTTCTCATGTTCTGTTCTGGGCTGGACTAGGTTAGCCTGTCAGAGGTTTTCCCGCAGGTTGCTGGGTAAAGCAGAGAGAGAAAGCCTCAAGGCGGGAGGTACCCGGAACTTGTGGCTAGGGTGGGAGGCCTTGCCTTTCTGTGACTCTTTAACCTCTTTACCAGCCGGGTAATCCATGGAACCCACCTTTCAGGGCCGGCAGAAAGAGACTCGTTTGGGGCGCAGTAAAGTGTTGCAGGTGTTTGTTGAGACTTTCCTCCGCCAAAGAAATGCTTCTTCACCCTCCCCAGTGTGCCAGCACCGCACCTCAGCTTGGAGCAGTCAAAAAACGGGAGTTTGTGGGTGTCCGAACACGGAGTGGAATACTGGTAGTTCAGAAACTGGAAGGCGAAAGCACATTCCCCCAAGAGCTGGGCACTTTTTTGCCTCGCCAGGGGCCGCTCTCGGGACGGAGACCTGATTCGGTGGGCACAGCAAATGCCAGGGACTGTTGGGAGTGAGATTCTGAGGAAGCCTCACACTTACGCCTCCACATTGGCTAGAAGTTTTGAACACCGTCGGGCAAGCAGCAATGCTCCCCTGCGCCACTCCCTCCACACCAATTGCTTTGGGTTACACGGTGGGACCACGGCGCGGCCCCTGCGGGAACACTCACGCCAGCAGAAAAGAGCTCCCCCACGCCCCCGCTCGAGCGCTAGAGGGTGGAGTGGAGGAAAGGGAAGCAAAAAGTAGTGGTGAATGGCGCGCGGGGTGGTGGTGGGGAGAGACAGAGAGAGAAAAGAGAGAGAGAGACACACAAAGAGAGAGGGAGGGAGGGAAGGAAGGAAGGAAGGAAGGAAGGAAGGAAGGAAAGAAAGAAAGAAGGAAGGAAAGAGGGAAAGAAGGAAGGAAGGAAGCGGGCTCAACTTCTCGAGCCCATCAATCCTTGCACTGGAGGACAAGCGGATGGGCCTCCGACGTGTTGAAAGCCGCAGTTAAAATGGCGACCTGAGTGTTGTCTCAATTTTATGGATGGCTTGTACCCTGGTTTTAGCCCCCTTCCTCCCAGTTCTCGTCATCCCCACAGCAGGTACTTGGCAGAAGTGAGGGGCCACCAAAGACAAAACAGCTCCCCCATGCTCTTAGAGACTAACCCAGAAAGAGCGTTCGGGCTCTTACCCCTCTTCTCAAACTTAAGAAACTCTGCCTGTTTCTGTTCCTGAGCTCCCCTCCCCAAATATTGACACACTAGAAGCAGCCAAGTCTTTTCTTTTTTGTTTGTGCAGTTTCCAAGAGTCCCACTCGGCGCCCCCAGCCCCACTTAATGACGTAAGCGTCTTTCACTCCAGGCTCCTAGCCTCTTCTGATTTTTTTCTTTTCTTTCTTTTTTCCTCTCTTTTCTTTTCTTTCTTTCTTTTTCTTTCTTTCTTTCTTTTTTTTTTTTTGTTAAACTTTCCTCTGAGGTGAGGTGGGGGTTGTGGGTGGGAGAAGGAACTGATTGAAAGAGCCAGTGCCCTGGGGGGAAATAGCAACAAGATTATGGCTGCCTCTTTCTTAGGCAAAGCTTAAGAGGGTGCTAATCCACTGGGTTGCTAATTGAGAGGTTGTAAAAATGATATTCGCCGCCTCCAGTTGGGATAGTCACTGGACACCCCCCCCCATCATGCGTCTTTAATGCTTGCTTGAGATGTAAAAGGGGAGAAAGGGAGAAAGAAGACTCCTCTGATCTGGGATCCTGACTCCAAGCTTGACTTCCTGCGGTCCTCTGAAAGTCGCGGTCCTGCGAAATCTCTCTCACTGGAGGCCGCCTACCCGGGAGTGGCGCCACCTTCTTAGCCTCCGGCCGGAGTTTCCTCCCAGGTCCGACCCAGTGCCCCCGGTCGTCTGGAAGGCGCGGAGCCAGTCACCTCCCTCAGGCTGAGGAGATGAACGGGTTGTGCGAACACACCTCAGGCTCGAGTAAAGGAAGGCCTCTTGTGTCCTCAGAATTCTGCTAAGGTTCCTGGGTGCTGCTCTGCTGGGACCCTGGCAGGGACTTGAGTTGGATGCTCCCTCCAGGCTCAGAGGCAGCCTGCCGTGGCCACCTGGTTCCTGCTCCCAAGGGGATTCGGCACCGTGGCCTGCCAGAGATCAACCGAATGAGCAGAGACTACTGCTGAAGGCTGACTTTCGGATCTTTCCCTAAATCACAAGAACCGAGTGCTTCAGTGGTGGTGGATTTCAACCTCCTTGCCCCAGCGTTTCCAATCCCACTCCCCTTTGCTGGCTTCTGAGTGTCTTCCGGATCTCAGGACTGAAACTACTTCTAGGCTCTAAGAACACGCAGACTGCTAGAGCGCTCCGGACGGCGCGGGGCAAGGAAGCTGGGGAAGCTGCCTGCTCCCCTGTCACCTAAACTGCAGTCTCCGAGGGACGTCTTTAGAGTGTACTGAGGTGTACCCTAATGTCCGGCATTCAACAAATGGACTTCTGGTGTGTGGTCAGAAGGGAAAAGCCGTTTACTTACTTTCCTCGCCGGTTTTCTGGCAACAGTTGAAGGGGAATTGCCTCCGTGGACTGAGCTGACCCAAGAGAAGGGAGTCTTGGCGGGGATACATAGGCACCACACACAGACAACCGCTTCCTTACACCGACACACGTTGACATACCAAGAAAGCCAGCGGGGATACACACTCGCAGAAACTCTCCCAGCATTGGTCAAACCCCACCCCCACCCCCAGGCTTCCACTACCTCCCCTCCCTTCTTATCTTCCCCTCCTTTCGACGGTCTGGAAAAGCTGCCACACTTAGTCAACAAATGGCACGTGGGAGAAGTTGGAGAGTGTTTGGTGAGGACTCTTCAGAGCTTTTCACAAGAATCCTCTGTACACAAAGTAAGTGGCGTGTTTACTCGGGCCTCTCCAGTCTGGGGCAGTGCGTCCGCTGAGCACGGTGGCTTCGGAAAGCAGAAAGGAGAGAAGAAAAGGCCCAGGGTGCAGGAGTGGGGTGGGGAAATGGGCAGGCTTGGGAGGCTGGCCCGGGGAGATCGCGGGCCTCGCTGAGTTCTCGGCCTGGAGGCCTTCATCCGGCCTAGGCATCGCCACGCCACCATCGCCGGAGTGGGGCTGCTGGGATCCAGGGACACTCCCGCCTCTTTTCTCGTGCTCCTAAAAGCCAGGTGGGCTAGAGAGCCGCCAGCGCTGTACTTTGTGTCCTGGGGCCAAGGCCGGTGTGGACTAGGGGTAGGAGGTGAGGGTGGACAGGGGCGGAGTAGCAGGCCACTGTACACTGGCAAGAAAGGACCTCGTAGAGATGATAAAACTTGCTACCTCCACGGGCTAGCAGCCCCAGGCCCAGCTTGGGGTTACCGGGGCAGCGTGACTTCCAGCCCAGAGGCCTCCATTAGACTGATCAAGTTCGCGGCCGCAGCGCTGGCTGCCGAAGCGCGTGGAGCCGGAGACCTCAGCGAGCGCCAGAGCCTGGGAGCAGGGGGCCCAGAGCTGGAGAGAGAAAAGCCGGGACCCACCGGCAGAGCCGAAAACAAGTGTATTCATATTCAAACAAACCGACCAATTGCACTAGGCAGGGAGAGGGAACATCCAATCGGCTGGCTCGAGGCCCCGGCGCTGCTTTGCATAAAGCAATATTTTGTGTGGGAGCGAGCGGTGCATTTGCATGTTGCGGAGTGATTAGTGGGTTTGAAAAGCGAACCGTGCCTCGGCCTCATTTCCCGCTCTGGTTCAGGCGCAGGAGGAAGTGTTTTGCTGGAGGATGATGACAGAGGTCAGGCTTCGCTAATGGGCCAGTGAGGAGCGGTGGAGGCGAGGCCGGGCGCCGGCACACACACATTAACACACTTGAGCCATCACCAATCAGCATAGGTGTGCTGGCTGCAGCCACTTCCCTCACCCACACTCTTTATCTCTCACTCTCCAGCCGCTGACAGCCCATTTTATTGTCAATCTCTGTCTTCTTCCCAGGGATCTGAGAATTGCTCTCACACACCAACCCAGCAGCGTCCGTGGAGAAAACTCTCACGAGCAACTCTCTTAAAAATACCATCATTTCAAACCGTTGTGGTCTTTAAGCAACAACAGGGGGGAAACAACAAAAACCAAAAAAAAAAAAAAAAAAAAAAAAAAAAAAAAAAAAAAAAAAAAAAAAAAAAAAGCCCAATCAAACAAAACTCTTGACAGGAGCTTTGACAACGCCGAGAGAAAGGATGCCTCTTAAAGGTGAGTCCGCTTCTTTCTTCTCGATTTCTTTCCATTTCAATATCCAGGCAGGTTTCTCCCTCTCCCTCTCCCTCTCTTCTTTCCTCCCTTCTCGCCGGTCCCCTCCCCCACTGCTACGCCTGGAGAGCCGGAGAAGTTTCCACGCAGGAGCCCAAACTTTCTACTTCCAGCGAAAGCCCGCGTCGGAGGGCGACGGTCCCGCGAGCCGCGGCGGCGCGGTGCTCCGGGCGGGTGGCTGGCTCGACACCAGCCAACTGCGACTGGAACTCTCGGTGAGCAGCTAGGCTCCAGGCGCCCCCGCAAACCGCAGCTCTCCGCCGCAGCGTCTCCTAAAGCTCGCGGTCAGCGGGAGAGGACGAAGAGGCTCTGCCGTGCCCCAGGCCGCGGAGAGCAGCCACTGGCGATGCTTTTGTCCAGCCGGGGCCGAGCCAGCGCGCAGAGAGCGCCCAACCAGCCGACTCTCTGCACCGCCTCCCGCCAGCCCGCGCTCCGGCTTTGTGCAAGAACCTCCTGGGCACAGAACTGCCCGCGGCACTCCAGCGCCAAAGGGTCATCGCGCCCGCCGCCAGCCGGAGCCGACTCGATGGGCACCGCAGCCACGAGCTGGAGGCCACGAGAAACCCGGAGCGAGTGACAGCGGTGAAGGAAGCCACTAGGCCGAGGCGGTCGGATGCGTTCTCCGAGGGAGCTCCGAGCCAATCCCAAGGACTGCCAGCTTCCATCCAGCCCCAGGGCCCTCGCCTCCAGCCTCACTCAAGCGCAGAGCTCGGTCTTGCAAGCAAATAACCCTTGGCTCTCCCGTCTTGCCACAACTCTATCTTGAGAAAGTTGGGGGTGTTCCCTCCCTATGGACTCCCACCTCCGGCTCTTGGTGGGTATTTTCCCATGTCTTCCATTGACTAAGCTGTGCCCAGTGTTGCCATTTCAACAAGTTTCGAGCTGGAAAGGTGGTTTGCTCCTCCCTTTCGGGTGTACTGATTTTTTTTTTTCTTTGTGTGGCCTAAAGGGGAAAAAAAAAATCTATATGAAAGCATTGGCTTTCCTTCTCGTCGACTCACGTTCTCTCCCAGCTAATTAGTCTGAGTAATTCGAGAGCTTTTGGATTCTAAGACCCCAGGAGTAAAAGTGCCTTTTCAAAGTTCAGAAAGTTGTTGCCTCTTTCCCGGGGCAGAGTTTCTCAGTCTCCCCGCGCCATAATAGCCTCGAATTTTAGCAAGTGTAATTGAGGGAAATGGAGTTGAATTTCAAGTGGAAATGCTTTCTTTTTCCGAGTGCTAAAAAAATCTGGTCTTTCATTAATGATGCTTTCTGGAAAGTTTAAAAACAAATGATCTCTCTCTCTCTCTCTCTCTCTCTCACACACACACACACACACACACACACACACTTCTAAATCATTTTGGATGGTAAACTCGAACTTGGGAAGGGCTGAGAAAGAGACAAGAGCAGAAAATGAAATGAAAAGCTAAAATGTCTGAAAGCCTAGCAAGTTTAGCAAAGAGAAAGAACAGCTTTGGCCACTGATGGTGGGGGGGGAGTGCTGGTGATCTTTGCATATGTTTGAAAGCAATTGATCAGTTGTCCTTTAGCCCTGGAGAGTAAACTTTATCCTCCTAATTGCTAATTTCTGGGGGGGGGGAACCAGCCGGGGGAGAAACCAAGTTTCTCCTAACACTTCAGCTAAGAAATATGAGGATGGGTTTTGAAATTTAAATAATTAAAGCAGTAGCATAGTGTGAAAGCTCTGACTTGTGTTGGGGTCAGGGAGTGGGGAGGGTTGAGGGCCAATGGACTTGTGGATCAATATCTTGTGGCCTTGGAGATTTCTGATGACTCCTTCATTCCTGGTGCTGGTCTATGGCCCCACCAAGGAGATACAAAGCCCTAGCCTTTGCTTGGACCTTGGGCTAAAGCAAAGGGGTCTAGGTTCTGTAAGAACAGGACTGCTTCCGGGTGCAGGGTGTGCCCTGCTTCCCAGGGTGCTTTTGCACTGAGTGTTAACGATTACTTAGGTAATTAGATAGCTTCTTAGAGGAGTGGAGGGTGGGAACCAAGCAAAACCGGAACCTGAAATGCTATCACCTTCCCAGTTGCTTGGAAAAGTAATCAGCTAGCTCTTTCAGGGACCAGCTAGACAATTTTCTAAAATGGCATCACGGAAATCCCAGCCAGGATGGGGAGGTGAGGCTGTGTAAAATGTGGCGAGAGAGGAGCTCAGGGAGTTTTACTGTTCTAAGCAGAATTCTGCTCTACCCCATCCACCTGCTATCTTGTGCAGCTTGAGTCCAATGTATAGGTAAGATGGACATTTTGTTCTGGGTGGGATTTCTGTTCGTGTTATGATCTTGGATTCGGGAACTGACCTAGAGATGGGGGGAGGTTTTAGGAGACCCAACCCCACTGGGGGTTTCTAGCCCTCTGTTATGTCCAGTTATAATCAGAGAAAAAGTTTCCCATCCTGAACTTATATTTATGCATTTAAACTGCCTCTCAGTTACTTAAAAGTTAGGTCATAAAAGGTCTTGAAGAGAAAAATGCATTTCTTGGAATTATTTGTAGAGTGGCAAGATTAATCATCACCACAGTCCAAATCAGGGAAAAGAGTGATTTCTTAAAATAAGACAAAAATGATGCTGTGACTATTTCATTATTTTACACCCCCCCCCGCCTTTTTTTCCTGGGCAATCCTCTTGAATGGGTTCTTTATTGTAACTCTCCTTTCCCAATTGAGCTCCCCACGGTGCCCTTGTATCTTTTTACAGCCCCTAACAACTCACACCAGCAACACAATTACCTTCAGATATTTATAACAAGAAATTACTTTACTATTTTCTCCACCGCTCTTCCAAGAAGCCTCTCTTTGAGGGAAGGTAGGGAGGGCGGGCGGACTGGAAGCCTCGAGTCAGGACTTAGTGAGTGGAGTACCTCTTTTCTCTTTGTGAGTTGAAGAGTTGTTGGGTCCTTTGCTTGGACCTGGTGTTGCTGGCTTGAGAGTCTCGGCTTTGCTCTTTGGGTTTGGGGAGAGCCGCAGAATAGAAGCCATTGTTTGGTGTCTGTAGACTTTGTCGTCCGTGTTCACCCCCTCCTGTTTGTACTTTTTAAAGCAGCGAGGCGAGGTAGACAGCATGTGTCAGAGTACAGGAAAAGCGAGGAAGATCTAAACACCAAAAGCAAAGTTAATTGCAACAAATGAGGTTTAGGGTAAAAAGCTGGACACTTGCTATGTCCTGAAAGGGCTGAGAGACTGGTTGTGAGGGTCTGACTGGAAAGACTTTGGGAGGGGGAGGGCAGGAGAATGAAGGATAAAAGAGTAACCAAAGAACTTAGTTCTAGGGGTCTTGGGACAATTGAGGTGCTGAAATTCCTTAGGAAGGGAGGGAGTTTGGTCTGAGGCTCAATCACCCAGACTTCTCTAACCAGAGCCCTCAGGCACCACCAAGACCTTAGATCCTCCTCACCTCCACACTTCAGGGGTTAGTGGTTTTCCTTCCCAGCTCTGTTTATCCTCCACTCTGTTCTTTAGGCTTAACCCTTTCCCTTTCCTTGACGTTTGTTAGTTTTGCAAAGCGAGATCACAACTCTCGATTCCCCACTTGGGGACAAGCCTAGCCAAAACAGCGTTTTCCGAAGGATGCAGACTTCTGTGGGAAAGACCACTCCAAGTGTGATGTCTTAGTGTTTCTAGACAGGAAGAGCTAGCCTTGGATTCATTTTGGGTGGCGAGTGGGCCTGAGACAACCAGTAAACCTATGTCTTGGGGCCAATTTGACATACCTTACTTTCCCTCTGTTTTGTCTTAGGCAGAAGACTTTAACTAAGGGCAAGCAGATGTGTGAGATCTTCTACTCTAAGAGTGGACATACATACCAGTTTTCAGGCAAGTTCTATAATGCTCTTTGTGGCTTCAAACCCTGAAAGTTTTGTAGTTTTGGTGGTGGTGGTGGTTTTTTTTTTTTTTTTTTTTTTAAACCATTAGTTCAGGTGGAAAAAAACAAAAACTGGTCATGGTTTCTTCTGATTAACAAAGACCAAGTACTAAAATATTTCGGGAAACTGATTGTGAATGTTAGATTATTTTACTAGCAGCTCACTAAGTACATTTTGTATGCATAGAAGGGCAGGGCTAGGTGGACTCTCTGATCAGTGGCTCAATTTCTAAGCAGAGGAGGAGGCACCAGGTCTTCCTCAGTATGAGTACAGGCCTACCTGTGCAAATCCCGGGATTAACTCCATTTTATTTATTTATTTATTTATTTTTGCTAACAGAGCCCCGTATTCGAGCCCCGTGGGACCCGGAGGCCGCCAACCAGAGCCAGCATGCAGAACAGTGAGTGTCTCTGGTCTTTCGCTGAACTTTTGGGCTGGAGTCGTGCCGACCGGTGGGTTAGGGGAGCGCACAGAGTCTTGGGCCCTGGGGAGTCCAGGCTACTGGGAGGGAGGGGGGAGGCCTGGAGAATTTATCCCAGCTGTACACGGTTCGTGCCAAGTAGCCCGCTAGGGAGGGCAGGAAGGCGTTTGTTCTACTGTGCTTCAGAAGGGAAGAGGCTGGGTCCCTTCAAAACTACTCGCCCGAGTTTTTGATGCTGCAGTGGAGAAACCCCACCCCATCCCCCCCCCCCAAATCCTGTAACACATACCCCCTCCCCGCCCCTGCCCGGGCTCTGACCCCAGAGAGAGGGGCTGGGCTGATCAGGGCGGGGCGAAGGCTTCTCCTGAGAAGAGGAGGCCCCTTTGGGCTTGGCCAAGACTGAACAGCTCCTCCGACCCCAGGGGTGGGGGCTTCCCTTCCTCTAGTCAATCTCAGGCCAGCTTCTTCCCTCCCCACCCTAGCTACTCGCCTAGAAGGGAAGGGGAGTGGAGCACCCAGAGCCGGTATCCTGACCGGGAAGGAAACAGCACAACCTGTAGAAAGCAGGCGTTACTGAGTCTGGGAAGAGTGGAGGCTGCATGGGGCAGGAATTGGGAAAAGTGCAGTTCTGTGGGTCCTGGTTGAACCAGGTTCCGGGTACCTTTGACTCCCCAGCCTTTGTGCCTGTCTCCTCACCTTTGGCCAGGCCCTTTGGGCCCAACCTTTCTGTTTAGCCAGTGGCGCTGGTGCGTGACAGAGTTAAGCCTAAAAGTCAGGCCCGATAGCCAGTGAAACTAGGATTGGGCGGGTTAAGATTAGGGAGTCTACAGAGGTTTAAAGATACAACTGTGCTTGGCCGCATAGAGAGGCCTAGGTCTTCCTGAAACCTGCGGTCGGTCGGTCGTGGAACTGCACTGGTTTCAGAGAGTCCCCAGCAGCTCAGATTCCTGTTCCGGAATACCTGGCTGCCCCTTTGCTGCCACTGGATGGGAGTGGGGAGCTAAACTCGGGAAAGGGAGCGAAGGTGGGAGTTTTAAAGGTGTATTTGTACAGAAACTGTCAGACCCAAGGCCTTGGCCCGGGAGGCGCTTTCCTTGGCGAAGTGAATACCCTGAAGCTCAGATTGCTCAGTTTCAGGTTTTCAGGTGGACCCAGGCGCTCAGCCACAAGCGTTTGCCACTCCTCCATGACCTGGCTGGCAGGCCCACAGGGGCACGGGTCGCGGGTTGGCCTGTAGGCTTTGTGCCGCTGGTTCCCGAGTGTGCGCAAGGCGCGGAGCATCCAAATTGACACCATATGTTTTCCTATTAGAAGCTTTGCGGTCGAATTCTAGGCGCATAATCATCGCCACTGGGCAAGAACGCCAGCAGTCCCTAGGGAAGGGACACAATGATTGAGGCTTAACCTCTACAGGGGAATTTAGAGCTATGTTCCCTCGCTGCCATTTCGATGCTGGCAGAGGCGCCCTGGCCCACTGTCTCTCGGACCAGCTCAGGCGGGTTGCAGCTGTGGAGGTGCTGGCCACGTTATTTTTGCAATAGAGGAGGAGGAAAAAAAAAAAAAACTACGATTAGAGGCCTTGTAGGCTCTGTCATCTGTAGACGGGGAAATTACCCTGACTCTGCTTGAAAAGTTTCTCTTGATTTCTCTAAGACGGCCTTTCTTTTTCTGAGAAGGTTTGCCTAGAGATGGGCCTCCATAACCTGCATAGTAAAGGAGACTTAGAAAGCCAAGGTAGATGATAAAGAAAATTTAAGAGAAACTGGAAGTGCAGGGTAGGCCTTGCCCTGTTGGAGAGAGACTATCTCCAGCAACTGTGCAGTGTACCTTCTCGCTCTGGCCCGGGCCAGCCGGCCGGAGCCCAGATCCCTAAACGCCTGTCACTTCTCATCGAATTGAGGCCCCGCCCCCCCTCGGTGAGTTATACCCCCCCCAGCCCCAAGCCTCGGGCTACCCTGAAAACGCAGCTCCCCTCGAAGGGGAGACGAGTGCAGTTCATTCTCGTCTGAGTGATCTACAAATAGGGACGGAAAGGGTCGTTTTATCACGGTCCCGTTTGTCGTGACGATGCAATTTCCCGGAGCGGAGCACTGTCACAAAGTGACAAGGCTGCCACAAGCGCCCCGACTGATCTTTTCAATTAGCCTTCCATGCATGATCCGGAGCGACTTCCGCCTATTTCCAGAAATTAAGCTCAAACTTGACGTGCAGCTAGTTTTATTTTAAAGACAAATGTCAGAGAGGCTCATCATATTTCCCCCCTCGTCTATATTTGGGGCTTATTTATTGCTAAGAAGCACAGGCTCTTGGAGTCAATTTATCAGGAGGCTCCAGGAGAAGAGAGAAGAGAGCAGAGGCGAGAGGAGCTGGGAACTGGGAAGCCCGTCTTCTCCTGAGAGGGCTTCTGTCTAGAGACGGGGCTGCAGGTTGGAGACGGCTGAGGAAGTGGAAAGAGGGGCCTGGCTTTATTTGTGTGCCTGTTGTTTCCGAAGAGGGTAATTCAGGGAGGCGCTCCTACCCTGCCCTAGTCTCCAAGACCAGACAATGGGATGAGATTGTGAGACAGGAGTTGAAGGAGGGACGGCTGATACTGGGATGTGGTCTTTTTCTCTTTCTGTTTTGGGTTTCGGTTAATATTTGTGTCTTTGGCTGAAGGGGAGGGCGGAGTTCAGCAGTGGAAGTAAAGCCAGTAGTGGCCGGGTGCATAGACTCCCGGCTTTGCTCAGCAGTTGGGGCAGGCAGACCACACTGTGCATGGGGGCTTCCAATCCTATGTCTTCTGTGGAGGCGCGGGTTGGGGTTTACTAGCTATCAATTTGTTCTTTTCTATTCTACACACACACACACACACACACACACACACACACACACTGCTACATACTGTGTGCCTCTGCCAGAGTTAAATCACGATGCAAAGGTTTTCTGACGGGCTGCCCAGCCTTTGCAGGGCTTGGGATTCGCAGAGCTGTTCTAACAGTGCAGGAACTGCAGTGTGTTCTCTCTGATGACACTCAGAGGTGGCGTTTAGGGAGGAGATTTTAAGAACTGTTGTTTGCCCCTTGTGAGTTCCAAGCAGGTCTGGAGACTTATGAAGGGGGCAATGGGTTCAGGGAACTGTTGGGGTGGTAGTACTGGGTGGATATGTTCCAGTCTGACAACAGTCCAATGGGCAGGGTCAATCTGGATTTGAGGCTGGGCTGCCTCAAATGCCCTGCATGGCTGCTGGTCCTGTGGTTGGGTGTTTCTTTCTTTCTTCTTTTTTTTTTTTTCTTTAATTTTAAATCAGGACCTGATTGCTGAGGTTTGCACAGGTTGGCAGGGAGCTGAGGTTGCGTTGTGCTTCTTCTTCTTCTTCTTCTTCTTCTTCTTCTTCTTCTTCTTCTTCTTCTTCTTCTTCTTCTTCTTCTTCTTCTTCTTCTTCTTCTTCTTCTTCCTTCTTCTTCTTCCTTCTTCTCTTCTACTTTTCTTCTTGCTCTCCTCTCCTCCTCCTTTCCTCAGGTCACAGCGGAGTGAATCAGCTTGGTGGTGTCTTTGTCAACGGGCGGCCACTGCCGGACTCCACCAGGCAGAAGATCGTAGAGCTAGCTCACAGCGGGGCCCGGCCGTGCGACATTTCCCGAATTCTGCAGGTGATCCTCCCGTGGCTGTCCCACTCGCCGCCCCCACCCCTACCCTGCAGCCCTCCGCACTTTAAGCGTCCTCTCTTCATTTCCTACTGTAAATTATGGACCCGTACCCCCACTCACTCCATCCCAACCAACTCCCCTACCTTCTGGCTTTCCCCTCTCTTTCCACCATGGTCCTTGTCTATTTCAACCTCACTCAGTCAGTTACATAAGATAATTCATCTGCGTTAAAAAATGTGTGAATTAAAAAAAATATATCTTTGCATTTGTTAAAGACAGTCATTATGTTAACAGTGTATCAACTGTAATGAGCTGAGTCATATAAATTGGAATAATCTCATTCCCCTCTCCCCAGTCCATGCTAACCTCAAATTTTAAGAGATTTGTTTGCGCTTTTCATACATATGAAGAATGTATATGGATTTGAGAAGGCAAATGCTGTTTATTCCTCTAATTCACATCTGCTCAATTGGGCAAAAATTTAAGGGAAAAAAGGTAAAAACAAAATTCAATTATTTTTCCCTTTGTTCTTTACAACATAATACTACTTTAAGCAAGCTCTGCGCAAAAAAAAAAAAAAAAATAACCTGACTTCGTTTTAATGCATCTTCACACAGTGTTTAGGAACATAGTTTAAAAAGCTTTTTAAATTAATTCAAAGTGTCTGAAAGTATCATTATATTTGTAGTTTTAGGGCTACAAATGTAATTTTAAGAAAAAAAAGCTCTCTACAGTAAGTTCTCGTACCATTGAAGGTATATTTTTGTGTTATAGACCCATGCAGATGCAAAAGTCCAAGTGCTGGACAATGAAAACGTAAGCTTGTCATTGTTTAATGCATACTTAAACAATTTTATTTTTGTCTTGAAATTATTAATAATGTGGTTTTCTGTCCACTTCCCCTATGCAGGTGTCCAACGGATGTGTGAGTAAAATTCTGGGCAGGTATTACGAGACTGGCTCCATCAGACCCAGGGCAATCGGAGGTAGTAAGCCAAGAGTAGCGACTCCAGAAGTTGTGAGCAAAATAGCCCAGTATAAACGGGAGTGCCCGTCCATCTTTGCTTGGGAAATCCGAGACAGATTATTATCCGAGGGGGTCTGTACCAACGATAACATACCCAGTGTAAGTTCACTGTGACCCTTTGCCTTCCTTGCCCCAAGCCCCTCACCACCTCTTTCTTTTTCCTCCTTCCACTCTTGTTCCCTCCCTGTGTCTTTTTTGTTCCCCCCCCCCGCCCCCATTACACGGGTCTCCATGGTACCAGGGGAATAGTGAGAGGTGTGCTTTGACTTTTTGACCATCTGGAAAACGGGAGTCAGGTGTGGGGAGTTCATTTGAATGCCAAAAACCAGGGTTTAAAGGAACTGGGGAAAGAGACTTGAGTGGCGGAGTAACTTGACAATGAAAACCACCACCCCCAGCACCTGCCTGGAGCGTCTTTCAGGCAACACACATTCATTTATGCTCTACAATAAAATAAACCTGTAAATTAAGTAGAAATCTTTTATTGGGGAGGGGAGTCTTTGACAGCCAAGCAACCCAGTGAGTTAGGTTATTAGTGCTATCTACGGAGGTGAAGGACTGCTCCTTCCTCTTTACCCAGCTTCATTTCCAGGAACAAAGTGACAGCTGCCATTCTTTCCACAGAGTAGCTAAAAATCTGGGGTGCCTGAGAGCTTTTGCATGTGTGGTGGGTCATTCTTTAAAACCTGGGAGACCTGAAATGGGGACGGAAGGCCGGGTGCCTGTGTCTTTCGGAGACACTACCATTTGGTTTGATTTGCAGGTGTCATCAATAAACAGAGTTCTTCGCAACCTGGCTAGCGAAAAGCAACAGATGGGCGCAGACGGCATGTATGATAAACTAAGGATGTTGAACGGGCAGACCGGAAGCTGGGGCACCCGCCCTGGTTGGTATCCCGGGACTTCAGTACCAGGGCAACCTGCACAAGGTAAAACTCAAGCAGCCATCCTCCTGTAACTCTTTCCTCCTCTGGGTTCCCAGTCCCTAGGAGGGCACTGCCCTGGAAGGCTTGGGTACCCCGACTCATACTTTGTGTGACTGGTGTTTGTGAAACCATCCTGTTGATTCTTATTGACTGTGAGGGCTACGCCATGTCAACAGCGGTATGAAGTGGCTGGGAGGGTGAGCATGTGTAAGGTCGAGCCTCTTGGTGCCCTTTCAAATTTGACATTAAGATTCAGCAGAGCCCACTTGCAGTACAAGTGTGACAAGCTAAGCTAGCACACTGGCATCATTTGCTTTTTGAAGTAAATGACAAATTATAAGACTTTGATTAAGGCGGTAGGAGAGGCTGAACCTATGCATGGTCGATTTGAAGATCAACACTGGAAGTGCTGGTCCCCTCTTCCAAGTTTAACAATTTCGACATTTTACCCCCTCTCTGCCCGTTGGTTGGTTCCCGTTCTTATTCTTTATGGGTGGCAACTGGCTAGAAGTGAGGTGGGGAAACAGTACCGGGCTGAAGGTTCAGTGAGAGGTTCTGAGCCCGGGAGGATATTTGAGAACTATATGGTCCAGTCCCAGGTTCCGTGAGAAGGCTGTAGGAAGAGGAGTTGGCCAGTTAACTCTCTCCCCTTCCCACTCACACCGAGGTAACTTGGTCAAGAACAGGAAACAGTTTACTCTTAAGATTAATCGGTATTTGTTGTCCTTGTGACAAGGAGATAATATGCGGGATAATGGGACGTGGCGTCTCACTCCCGGGAGTACCACAGAGCCTGGGGGCTCAGGGCCGGGGGCGACGCAAGGCTGCTGCGACTCGGTGAGCTCCTGGACCAGCCCCGCGTGCAGGGCGCCTCCACAGTGCCGGGTTGGAGAAGGGAAAATCGGTAACAGTATGCGAAATATCTGGTACAAAGGATGCTTCTGTCACTTGCAAGAATTTGTTATGGGAACAATCCTGTCGCTCTGTAATTGCTCATTAGAGAACGTTTTGTTTCTCATTAAGGCGACATGAATAAGCGTCTAGTTGAAGGAGACAGCTGTAGAAATGTTCCACAAGAGACCTCTGGACACGATTCGGCACCAATTGCCAATTAGACACGTCAGTTTTAAGAGCAGAAAACAATATAGGACGGACACTGGGACGATAGAGAGAAAAACGCTCCTTTCTGGTTTCCCAGCGCCGCCGCTCCAGGCCAGTGCGGGGCTTCCTGATGCAGGCCCCGACTCCCCTGGGTGACCCTGCTCACGTGACCTCGAACCTGCCGCCTTGATAGTTGGAGCTCAGAAAACTCACAGGTTCAGGCCTTTCTCTCCGGTCGGTCTCCAGTAAGACCAGCTAGGGAAGGATGTAGCCAACCCTGCACGGCCTGACGGTTGAAGCTGCAGGACTCCCGCACTCATACCCACAGAACACACCCCAGCGAAGCTGGAACTCCATCTGCTGACCTTCCTCTCTCCACCCCCAGCACTCCGGAGTCCTGCTGACCCCTTCCCCGCCCACTAGATCGAAGGTGTCTCAGTTGTAGGCAAAAGGCCCAGAAGTTCAGACCTGGGGGGGAGGGAGGGGGCTGAGGCCAGAAGCCTCCACCCCTGGGTCTCCCTGGTGTTTAGGGCTCACGTTTGCTTGGGGCTCAGGGAATGGACATCCCCTTCTGTTTCTGAGACTAAAAACCAGGGCAGAAGCTTCCTCTGGAGGTGTAGCGCGGCCTGTTTAGGGCAGTTTTTTTTATTTCTGGGTGCAACAGAACCCAGACAAAACCGTAAGGGCCTGGTGGTGACCACTGGGGGCGAGAGGTGGCGCTAGTTTAGGGACTTTTAACTTAATGCAGCTAGTTACTAGAGAATGCTGGTGGTACACTTCCTAAGCGTCCTACCCATCCACCCTGTGTACCCCCCATCTAAGTGCTCCCCTCCCCCAAGACTTTCTGCCCCGCCTCCAGCGTGGGGAGGAAGCGTGGCTCCAAAGGAGCTTAGAATCTTGGGCGTGGGGACCTCGGGCTCTGTTGGTGAGTGTCCGTTTGCGAGGCTTAAGTTCCTGGGGATTCCTCTGGCCTTTTGGTGCTAAGAGCATCTCCCTCCCTTTCCGGCCCCCTTTCTCGGCCCGAGGTGCTGATCTTGGGTTTTAAAGAGTCCATTTCCAGAAGCATAAGGAGAGGTTAGGTCTCTGAGGGGGACAAATATGGTTTCCATCTGATCTACGCCACGCGTCGGCGAATAAAATCCTGAGGACGAGGGCTGACAATGACAAGATGATTCTATCCAGCCCCAATTCTCCAGCGATTTGGTGGTTTTAGGGATCACGAAGACACTTTTTCCCATCTCCTCCCCTCTCCCCAACCCCCATAATACCCAGGCCCTCTATAGGATTTAGTCAGCCTCCTTTTAACAGATGCTTCAATGTTTTGATTCGCGCTCCAGAGCTGAAAAGGTTCCGCAACCGCGTTGCTATCTTTTCTTGCTTGTTTTCCGCCTCACTGATTAAGACCCTAAGAAACTAAGGAATGATTTTACTTCCCAGCGTCTTTTCTTCTTCTTCTTTCTTTCTGTTTCCCCCTCTCCCTCTCTCCTTTCTCCCTCTTCTTCCAGGAACCAAATCCTATCGCCTGCGTCAGATGGTCTTGGGGCTGGGATAATGGAAGGTGCTTTCACTCCGCTCGGATTAGGCAGGGAGGTGTGCGGCTCCCATTGAAGGTCCCTTCTTTGCGCCGCTAGGAGGGGGACGCCTTTTTAAAGGAGATATCTTAATTGTCTGCCACTTAGGTTTATCTTGTAGGGAATTAGAAAGCTCTAACTTCTATTTTTAGTTTCTTAAAAGATTTAAGGGTGGAAGGTAAAGCCACTAAAGAAAAAGAAAAACAAAACAAAACAAAACACCCCAAACAAAAACCCCAGCTCTATCTAAGTGACCACTCAGCCACCTGGCTGCAAACAGCTGTTATTTTTGAGTAGTGAACGTATTTTTTTTTCCAGCGCTGTTCTCTGGCTTGTTAAGACGTGATGGTGGTGGCTGAAGCATTTTCTCCTTATTGACTCTGATTTCACTTAAACTAAATACATAAAATATAAAATACATATATTATATATATAATATATGAAAAGGAAAAAAATTAAATGCAGTTTTCCTGTTCTTCTTTTTTTTTCCTGTTCTTCTATGCTTAGTTTTCTCCCTAAATATCACTCCCCAAGTCAGTGAAGGCCCTAGGCTTATAACTCCAATGCATGCTTGTGTGTGGTGCCTGAACTTGAAGGGCAATGAATATAATCCCTACGCTTTAAAATTAGGGTGACAAAGACACGGATGAATGCTATCTGCAGGCATCTTCTGAGGGAGACCCCCAGCTTTGTTTAATTGGCAAGATACAACACGCTAGAGAAGGGACAGGGGTGGGTCCAGGGATTTTCTTTTGGGTGGAGGCATGAGTGACCAGGCCGGATTGTGTTTGTGTTTTCCAAAAGCAGTAACCGATGGACTTTTCTAGGAGACCCAAAGGGCTTAAAAAAAAAAGTCCTTTACTGAATCAGACAATAAAAGGGACAGGCTATCTTCATCCCCCCCCCCCCCCCCCGAAAAAACACTTTAAAAAGTCCTCCAGAGACCTCGGGCAGCAAATTAGCACAGCCACTTGTGTGCCCCTACACGTGAGTTTGGCGAGTCTCCTCCAGCAGCGACCCTCCCCTCCCCCACCCAGCTGATGTAGGGCAGGACGCCTGCGGCTTGTTTACCAATACACGCTCCCTCCTTCTCCTTTTCGTCGTTTTCTCCCACCTCAGTCAACCCTCCAGTGTCTTTTTCCTCTCCACATGTCCCCCGCTGTCCCTTCTTATACCTTTTGGCCAACACCTCTTTGAACACCCCCACCCCGCCCTTCCCCCAAGCCATTCTTCCCCTTCCCTCCCTACTCTCTCCCTTTAGCCTCTCTTCTTCCGCCTCCCCTCAGCCCCAACTCTGGTCCCCGTCCACCCTCACCTCCCTCCACCCCCTGTCCTGGCCCCCCATCCACCACCATCACCACCCCCTCTGCCCAGCCAAGCGCCCTAAATAGCACCGAGGCGCCCGCTCTCCGGACAGTGATTAATGACAGCGGTGCAGAGGGGTTAACACACTTCGCTGAAAAGTCTGTTGACTGGGCGGCTTGTAACACAATGTGGCCCGCTGCACGCCTCAAGAGAATCCTTTTGTTGTCCGTGCTCATTGTGGCCTCAAAATTCTGCCCACGAAAGTTTGCCAACGCTCCTGCCCCAGGAGTTTAATAGTTTCCCTTACTCGCAGGGCATTGTGTGGTGCTGAAAAGCAGCCTCTCGCTATTCAAGTGTTGGTGGTCATCTCAATAGATCTCCAAGGGCCCATATGGTGGCCAGTGCCGATGAATCCGCCTGTTTAAATGGGGGAGAAAGTTGGGGTTTTAAAACATTTCAAAGTTCCTGAAAAGATCCCACTAGATCCTGTCACAATTCCCTGAACTCTTTGAAGGCGCTGCCTATTGTCTCCCGGTTATAAATGATATTCCTGGCCAAGTCGATTCCCACAGAGGTCTGGCGGCCCCTCCCCCCCCCAAACTGGCCAAGTTTCTAGGATCGGGAGGGGGACAGTCCCTGTTGGTATCCCGTAGGGACCCACAGGCCTCAGGACCCAAGACTCAGCCTTCAGTGCCCTGGGAAGCCCAGCCAGGGCCGGAATCCTTTCCTTTTCCCAGGCTGCCTCCTTGCAGGCAAGGTGCACCGCAGAGCCAGCTAGCCCAAGTGCACATCTCTCCACCGAGCGCAAAGGAAAACAATGAAACTTTCCCTGTTTAATGATAGAAATTACATTAAAAGTGGTGGAAATGCCCTAATTAAAAATGTACCACTTAAATGATAGGCCGAGGATTCAGCTGCGGCGTAGCATATTTAGCTAGTTAGTGAACTCTCCACGATTTCTTTTTTAAAATTACACGTTAAAAATTTAAAAGAAATCTTACTTTTCTCTGGTGCAACACATTACAAAGAATGGACAGTCCTTTTATCTAAATATAAAATTCCATTTTCAGCAATTATAGCCTGTTCTTGGTGATGATATAATTACAGCTGTGCTCGTAATAGGTGTCAAGGCGAAACACACTCACACAATGGTTGAATAAAACTGCAGAACAATGCAAGCACTTCTAAATTCACAACCTTTAAAATGAAATTGACTGTGCAGAATTCAAATAAAAACTAGATAAATATTTTTTTTAAAGATTACAAGCTTGGTTTGGTTTCTTAATAGCATTTTCTACAAACCTATCAACATCTAATTGATTAGATAGGAATTACTGATTATAGATCAGCTGAAACCTTGCACATCACTCTATTTCCCCAACATAGCCATAGGTAAGTACTTTCTGCAGGGCTGCAACTGGCTGCGGCCTGTGGGGAGTCAGTAGTGGAAGATCCTTTTGCCTGGAAACTTTTTGGATTGCTTTGTCATTCCAAGACACGCTGCTCCGTGAGAGGACTGTCAGGTCTCCTCTAGATGAAAACATACAGGAAAAGGACTCAGGTGACAGCGTCCTTCCCCTTCGGCTAACCCCTGATTACCTTAGCGAGGCTTTGTGGGGACTCAGACTGCCCAGTCCCTGGAGTTTATAACTATCGCAAGTCCCATTCAGAGCCCCCCATGTCGTTCCACTTTCTCTTATTGTCCTATTCTTTTTGTTGCAGATGGCTGCCAGCAACAGGAAGGAGGGGGAGAGAACACCAACTCCATCAGTTCCAATGGGGAAGACTCGGATGAGGCTCAAATGCGACTCCAGCTGAAGCGGAAGCTGCAGAGAAATAGAACATCTTTCACCCAGGAGCAGATTGAGGCTCTGGAGAAAGGTGATGGGGATTTTTCAAAGCAGAGAAGTCTTAAGTCAAAGTAAATGCCACACTGAACAGCACAAAGGGCTAAATTTAGCGGGGGTCCTTTGCATAAGAGACCGAACCCCCCCACTTCCTCCTCCTCTTCTGTCTCCCCCCTCCCCTCTGCACATCTTTTGGGGGAGTGTGTATCCACGTGCGTTTTCTTTCTTTTTACATACCAGTAAGTTGAAAGATTCAAATTCTGACATACAAAGAAAATGATGTTCCGGCTGTCCCAGGGTGCAGATGGTAACACTCACTGAATGTCATTCCAAAGAAAACCTCACTTAGTTCTGGCGGGAAAGTTCTTGCAAGTACAGCCAACACACTGTAGAGTTATCTGAAGGGAAACTGGTTGGAGGAGATGGCAGTGGGGTGGCACCAGACAGTTTGATCCAGGGTTCAAATGTTTTTGTGTAGTTCTGGAATAACATATAAAACCGACTTACTCTTCCAGAGTTTGAGAGGACCCATTATCCAGACGTGTTTGCCCGGGAAAGACTAGCAGCCAAAATAGATCTCCCTGAAGCAAGAATACAGGTACCTAGGGACTATGTGGCTTTTATGCATTGAGTCTTATTCTTTGCCTTGCCTGTATACCAGTCACTTCTATAACTAGTGACAGGGTCAGTTTGCAAAGACCCACTTCTCCTAAGGCACGGTGGAAATGGAGGGGTTTTTGTGGCGGAGACCGTAGGGAGCACAGGGCTAACCTGTTCCCCGCATTTCCAGGTATGGTTTTCTAATCGAAGGGCCAAATGGAGAAGAGAAGAGAAACTGAGGAACCAGAGAAGACAGGCCAGCAACACCCCTAGTCACATTCCTATCAGCAGCAGTTTCAGCACCAGTGTCTACCAGCCTATTCCACAGCCCACCACGCCTGGTAACTTGAAGTGTCCACTACCGGGAAGCCTACTTAAATCTGTTTGCCCTGGGCGCTCATCCTGAAATGACATTCCCTCTCTCTCTTTTCTCGCTCTGTCTTCTCTGCAGTTTCTTCCTTCACATCAGGCTCCATGTTGGGCCGAACGGACACCGCCCTCACCAACACGTACAGTGCTCTGCCACCGATGCCCAGCTTCACCATGGCAAACAACCTGCCTATGCAAGTAAGAGAGGCTGGCCACCTGCTGCACAGGACCAGGAATGGGTTAGGGCTTGCAGACCCCATCCGCCGCATTTACCCCCTTGGGAGTCTTTCTTGTGACAGTGATTGGCTTGACCAGTCAACTCTGAGACAGTCAATCCAATCTCTTTGAGATGATTGATTGACTGATTGATTCGTGCCCTCGAAAAACAAACACTCGATCTGTTCAGTCAAGTTAATGTGCCTCTTATCATCATGTTAGCTGGGTAATTCTGGGTGGCAGTGTGAGTCTGTTTTGGGTACCAATGAAGCTTGTGCCATAAAGCGGAAATAATGATGGCACAATATAAGGCACTAAGATGTTAGTATGTAAAAACTTCATGTTTATGTTAGTGTGTTTGTATTAATAAATACAGAATCAGCAGAAGTATTTTTGATGATTATTTTTGGTCCATGTGAGAAACTAGTGAGGAAGAAAAAAGGGGGGCTGAGATTCCTCTTTACACAGTGAAAGGCATTTACTAAAATAGGAAAACTAGTTCTTTATTTAAAAGTAAACGTGTACTAGAGAGTGTTTGCTTGAAATGTAATATGTATCAGCTGTAGGTGATGTGATAGGTGGGAGGTAATCTTTGCTGCCTAGAAAGCTGGTGGTATTCTCAGTTTGGTACCCTGGCCTGTGCTCTTAGGGGCAGTCCTGGATTCAGCTGGCACTTTCTAATGGTGGATGTACAGGGCTCCTGGGGCATACTAGACCTTTGGGTGGATTCTTACTGGGGGGATTCTAAGTCTCCTGATTGCACAACCATGAGATAGAGATGCCTGATTGTAAGAGCGTGGTAGCAGGAGTCAATGCTGGAAACAGTTCTGGGGTTACACAGATTGTTTATAATCCATTGAACATCTTCTGCCAGGTTTGGAATTCAAATAACAGCCAAATAGAAGTCTCCCAGCCTTCAGACCAATATTGGAAGAGCTAGATAGAAAACTCTATACAGTATTCATTCACATGTTTTTCTTCTATTTTGTTTGCTTTTTATTGGCCATAGCACAACTGATGTACATGAAGGGACCCACAGTCCATTAGTTAGTATTGCTGTAACCTGGAATTTTCCAGAAGTCAGGTTGCCTAGGGGAAGTGATTGCAGGAAGTAGAAACAAATGCAAGCTGAAATCCCGGCAAGGCCCTTTGTGCCTGCTTGCCTTTTTAGACTTGACGTGAGCATCTGACATTAATGAGGCCACTGAGTGTGTCGTGTTATAGCAACATCTAGGTGTCTGTGAGCATGACGTAATGTGCACATGCAAAACCAAAATGGAATAATTAGATAGATGCTGGATTGCGTTAAGCTTGCTTCTACATATAAAGAAATATGTTGGGTTGATTGATTTTAAACATTGACTTTCAAAAATTATACAGATTGTACAATAACAAAAGTAAACGGCTTCATCGAACAAAGAAAATAACAAAGGATCTATGGTTTTATAGTTCAGAGAAAACGCCTCTTTAAGTTTTGGAATGGGGAGGGGTGGTCTCTCTGTCAGTGGCTTCATCCTGTTGACCAAAATCCTCTGTCTTGCAAAGAATGGGTGCCTTCCTCTGAGCCTTCTTCAGCAGGTGCTAGTCTTTGTGAATGAGGATTTGGGGTGTCAGTCTTTGTGAATGAGGATTTGGGGGTGTCAAGCACATGCAGAGCAGCTATTGCTGACACTGGGCTTCCGATTCACCTCATCAGTTTTCTGACCTCAGATAACCTATGAGGACTCCGAAGGGGGGGATTATCCTGGCTCTGCATATTTCTTTATTTCTTATTTAGTTACAAGAGAAGTTTATCTCCTCAACATTTCCATTCTGAATGCTGAGAAGACAGCAACACATCTTATGGATGTGACTCAAACAGGACTTTGGGGTTAGTTAGGAAGTCAGTTAATTCTCAGGTCCTGTTTAAGTTACATTCACTCGCTGACACTTCTGACCTCTTTAACCTCACTCCACTATGGTTGCATATTTAAAAAAAAACAAAACTCTGCTTGTCCAAGTCCAGCACTGGAACGTTCCCAGAGTTCCCTGATTCCTCCTATTGCTCTCTTCCCCGAAGTTGAACTAGGCAATTTGGGGATCTTAGCATTCTTAGACAGCTCTAGGTTTGTGCTAGGAACTCCTGCGAGGTAAAAGAGTGCAGACTGCCAACACTGACTGCGTGTTTGAATGTATTGTTCTAGACATTTGTCACACAGGTGGCTTTGCCCTGGTGGTGGCTGATGATGAAGGGTCAAGCTTAGACTCATTATATGGAATTCTAGTACATTCCAAGGAGGCATCAGTAATGACCAGGCTTGCTGGCAGAGGCTCTGGGGAGCAGAAACCCCAGGATGGGGCTGTGTGATGTGGTTCTGGTAATCACAGGTTTCTCTGTCTCTCGGCAGCCCCCAGTCCCCAGCCAGACCTCTTCATACTCCTGCATGCTACCCACCAGCCCTTCGGTAAATGGGCGGAGTTATGACACCTACACCCCTCCGCACATGCAAACACACATGAACAGTCAGCCCATGGGCACCTCGGGGACCACTTCAACAGGTGAGCTCTCTGTAGTTGTGCGGAGGGGTCTACTGGGTCCTTTGGCCAATTGATCACCTCAACTCTTCTACGGGTGACTTGAGAAGAAACCTCTGGCCTTGCATTAAGGGGCATGGTGAACATTTTACTGCTCTTGCCTTTAGAGAAAACTGACTGAAAAGGGAAATTCAGTTAAGTTAGTGAGTTGACACCATATAGAGAAAAGAGATGTCATTTATGGTGGTGGATGAGATCACAGAAACCGTGTATGACAACAAGGCCCAAGATCACATTTTCAGAAGACATCTTGGCCTGGAGCTGGACAGTTGAGAGGGTCCACTGAGCTTGATGTAGGTATTTTTGGAAGACTTATACATCTTCTAGCTTCTTGATGCCAGCTGGAGAGGTACCACATAAGTCTTCCAGAGATGGCTGTACTGAGAAACTTCTAAATGTGGGGGAGGTTGACTTGGGTTTCAGGAGGTATGTGGGAGCATAGTCTCTAGTTTCTAAAGGTCTCCTTTTCTTTCTAATGATTGAAAGCTTTTTATTTTAATGTAAAGTAAAAAAGAAGTATTATGAAGTGTCAGGGGTTTTAGAAAGTCTGTGTGTTCATGCTGCACGCCATCTTTAGAGTCTACCCTTGTGGCTATTCTTTTTTCTTTATTCATTTACAGGACTCATTTCCCCCGGAGTGTCAGTTCCTGTCCAAGTTCCCGGGAGTGAACCTGACATGTCTCAGTATTGGCCCCGATTACAGTAAAGAGAGAGCATGATCGAGAGAGGAAACCGTGTTCACTCAGTCAGTGACTATGTGGACACAATAGTTGGGTGATCAGGAAGGAAAGAGAAATGGCTGTTAGAAGCACTTCACTTTGCAACTGTGTCCTGTATTGGAGCCCGGGAATGGACTAGAAACAAGGACCTTTGCATACAGAAGGCGCGGTATCAGTTGGAACAAATCTTCATTTTGGAATCCAAACTTTTATTAATTTCGGTGTATTATTTGTAAATGGGCATTTGTATGTTATAACGAAGAAAAGAACAACCCAGGCTGGTGGACCTTGGATCTGTGTTGGCTCATGTGGTTGTCTAAAGGAAACCGTGATTGACAAGATTTGCCATGGATTTAAGAGTTTTATCAAGATATATCGAATACTTCTACCCATCTGTTCATAGTTTATGGACCGATGTTCCAAGTTTGTATCATTCCTTTGCATATAATTAAACCTGGAACAACACACACTAGATATATGTAAGAAATATCCATTGGTTTTCCAAAGGTTGTTAACAGATGAAGTTTATGTGCAAAAAAGGGTAAGATATAAATTCAAGGAGAAGTTGATAGCTAAAAGGTAGAGCGTGTCTTCGATATAATCCAATTTGTTTTATGTCAAAATGTAAGTATTTGTCTTCCCTAGAAATCCTCAGAATGATTTCTATAATAAAGTTAATTTCATTTATATTTGACAAGAATACTCTATAGATGTTTTATACACATTTTCATGCAATCATTTGTTTCTTTCTTGGCCAGCAAAAAATTAATTGTTCTTAGATATAGCTGTATTACTGTTCACAGTCCAATCATTTTGTGCATCTAGAATTCATTCCTAATCAATTAAAAGTGCTTGCAAGAGTTTTAAACCTAAGTGTTTTGAAGTTGTTCACAAATACATATCAAAATTAACCATTGTTGATTGTAAAAACCATGCCAAAGCCTTTGTATTTTCTTTATTACACTATTTTCTTTTTAACCTTATAGTGTGGTGTTACAAATTTTGTTTCCACATTAGGTTAACATCCTCAATCAATGGTTAGGTTCCTATACACTCCATTTTACAACCTGGTGGTCCTCAAGGAAAAAAAAAATTATAGACACCAGAAGTTGACTATGTATCAGGAAAAAAAAAAACCATTCACAGCTGTGAGGATCTGCATCCTACAACATGTACGGAAAAAGGCAGTCCTTCCAATTTATCCATTTATTTCATTTAAGAGCTCAAAGTGTAGAAATAATTTTTAAAAATGTAACATGGATTCCCTAGGAATCGTGTTTTGAACTGAGGCTGGCATTTTCAAACTGGGCAGCCAAAATCTCCACAACAATTTCACTGAAGTATATTCAAAGGTTGAGTTCTGAAACAAGACTCTCGGAAAGCTGCTGCCCCTCTTAGATATCCCCTCTCCCTGTCCTGTCTCCGTCCTCTTTGTACAAGAGGCACATTTCCCACTGAACCCCTACAGCTGTTCCCATTTGAGTCCTGCTTTCTGTGCCGCTGTGGCTGGTTGGAGGGTGGAGGGGGGATGTTGCGTGTCAAGAAATAATGAGCGCAGACACATCAGCAGACAACAACAAAGCAGGCTGTGACTGGCCGGTGGGAGTTAAAGGCCTTCAGTCATTGGCAGCTGAAGCCAAACATCCCCAAGTCTACGAAGCAGGGCCCATTGTTGGTCAGTTGTTATTTGCAGAGAAGCACAGATCTGATCATGTTTAAAGTGGCGGCACGCAGGGCAGGAGTGCCTGAGCCCAAGCAGAGGACGGAAGAAATAAGCCTTTGTTGGGTAGAAAAAGGCTGGCCTGCCTGTTATTTTCTGTCTGCTCTGGGCAACACCTAAGTCAAAGTAGACATATTTTTCTTTAGTGAACTGCAGTGAAAAAACGTGTGTGTGGGGGGCTCCTGACTGTCTGGATTAAAAATATTCATACATGGAGAAATGTCTGGGTACACACTTCCATGGACTCAAACTCTGATATATATATATTTTTTCAGTCCCAAAGACAAATGATAAGAAATACATGACTTGAGGATTTGGACATCTCCCATTTGGTAGATAAGCTATCACCTACGAGCAAATGACTTAGATCTATTCATTTTCTTCTAGTAGAACTGCTTTCTGTTTAGAGATGCCATCCTAACTGGACTGCTGTTTTTGTGTGTGCACTTGTAATCACTGTCCGTGTCAGGCTGCACCGCCTGCTGGCACACACAGACTACTGGTACAATCGCCCTTGCAGACATTTCTGCCTCCTGACATTTTGCAGCCTCCATTCCCCTAGGGATGTGTGTTGAAGGAACTGTCAGAGAAGGGCTGTCTGCATTGCAGCCACTCCTGGCTAGCTTACTTCTTCCTCAGGAGAAAAAAAAAAGAGCAGTTTCTAACTGGCTGTGTTTGGGCTGGGGTCAGGCAGTCTGTGCTGGCCCCCTGCCCTGCTGCGGAGAGCACACGGAATTCGGGGTGTCAGATCTGGGAGTGATGTGAGGACTGAGGCTCTGGATGTGTGCAGCTGGGCACGTATACAAGTCCTCAGAGGGTCAAGACTGCCAGGGTGCAGTGGCACAGCCTGCTATGTTCTGAAGGAGGGATGCTCAGCTGTGGAAGCCTCGGGTCCAGCAGGATGAGAGCAGCAGCCTTGCCTTCTGCCCGCATGCACCCTAGAGGGATGAGCTGTCTGTATCCCAGGCTGTGTGGTTCCGGTGCTCGGGAACTGGGTTTTGACTCCCAGTAATCATTCTCATTTGTTTATTTACTGACGGATATGTTTATAGATTTCGCAGTGGAAAATCTTGCAGGGTGTTTTAGTGCCATTTTCCAGGATGAAGGCCAAATTTTATGACATTCTCTGTGCAAACAGCTTACATTTTATCTCAAGGTTTGACTAACTTGGGGACGTCAGGTGAATGGAATCAGAGCTGAATCAGTCTAGGTCAGTGTTTTTCAACTTTCCTAACGCTGCGACCCTTTAATTCAGTTCCTCACATGGTGGTGACTCCCAGCCATAATCTTATTATGGCCTTTGCTATTTCGTAACTGTAATTTTCTACTGTTGTGAACTGTAATGTAAATATCTGATATGCAGGAATGACCCCTGTGAAAGAGTCATTCAATCCCCCAAAGTGGTCTCAACTCACGCGTTGAGAACCGCTACTCCAGGTGAAAATAACTTTGCTTTTCGCCACAATGAAATTCCCAGGACGAACCTTCCAACCACTCTTACATGGTGGTGAACAACTGGCTTCTCAGCACTGCTTACATCACCTCCTCTTCCTGCTTAAACGAAACATCACAAATGGGTTTCCTAAAAATTCCATGTGTGGTGTTAGCGTTTAGCTGCTTTGTTCTTGAGCGTTTGCGGTCACAGGATGGCACTGACTGACTATCTCTATTCACGTCTTTGTGCTCTGGGCCTTAATGTTCTCAAAAAAAAGTGATTTTTTTTGTTTTGTTTTGAGGGGGTGGTCTCTATATTGAGTTTATAGATGGCAAATACACATGATTCTGTTTTTCAATAACTTTTTTTGCCTTGGTCATAGATGAATACACTGCTTGCTCATTTTTCAAGTTCAAAGTGTAAACCTTTAGGGCTTATATTGCTTAATTCGGATACTGTTGATGGTGACTATCTTGGGAATATAGTAATATGATGTCATAGAGATGATATTTATAATGGGCTTAACTGATATGGGTTTCCCCACATGCCCTTGCTCTAGGTGTATGTGTATGTCCCATTCATTAAAATTAAAAGACAGGGACTCAACAGCAGGATATCCCTTGCTTTTAAAGCATTTTCATTTGTTCTGGTGTTAGTACTAGAAGGTTCTGGGCGTAGTATTAAGGAATAAGTAAAAAATAAGTTAAGAAAAGTGATCTCGCTTAGTGGCTATTCACAAAAAATGCAGATGGTCTCAGAGCCCTTTGCCTGAGCAACCTATAGTAGTCAAAATATTTACCTCACATTAAAAAAAGGCAGATCTAGCGCAGGAATGAATACCAGAAAGGGGTTTGGGGTTCACACACTAGAAATACTGAAAAGATAGGGATATTATAGATCTTCTATTTGACAGTGTTAAGTATTTATATTCCAGAGAGTTTAAAATATACGAGTAGAGTATATATTTTATAATGCATCAGAAGGACATGCATATATATATAGTGGCATGTAATATACATATATTAATGTTTGTATTTTGAAGAGCAATATTTTTATGTGGGAAGTTTTTGGGGTAATAGAGAACAAATAATCTCTAGATGAAGGAAAACATATTTTGAGAATGGGTTTGTATCAGAAGTAAACAAAAACCAGCAACGTACAGCTGTTTACAATAGCAGCTTCTTCTTCATTATTATTATTATTATTATTATTATTATTATGATGATGATGATGATGATGTGCCGAGGGAGCCTGAGAAACAACGTAGTGGATGTGGTGCTTTTGGACAGTCCAGGTACTCTATTTATCGAAGAATTCAAAAAGTTTAATTTCTCTCTAAACTAAGGGTTCAAATATGCTTACTCAATTTCTAGGGAATTTGTCTATTTGTAAAGCTCATACCTACTAAGAGTTGACTGTTAACTTTATAGATGTCGTAGCCAAGCAGCAGACCAATGATTTATGAAGTATTTCATGAGCAGTTTGCCTATGCGATGGCCTCGCCCTTCCTTTCAGCGTCAGATGCCATGTGAAGGTGCTGTGGTGTGTGTGGGGATGATTCTCAGCGGGGTAAGAGCAAGGTTAGTTATTACACCAGTCAAACACTCACAGTCTGTCAGAGGACGGCGGGCTTCTGTGGATACCGCGCAACCTGACTGATTATCGATGGAGGAAATCAATTTTTTGAAGTTGTTTTAAATCTTAAAAGTACCTCTCCTCAACATAAAAGCCCTTTAATTTTAACTGACAGATCAATTCTGAAACTTTATTTTGAAAAGAAAATGGGGAAGAATTTGTGTCTTTAGAATTAAATGAGATAAAAAAAATAAATCAGACATTCTAAAAAAAATAAAAAATCAACCTGATTTTTTTTTTTAGTGCTAATGAAGTCGTGGTGACAAAATAGTTGTCTTTTTGATTTTATCACAAAAAATAAACTGGTAGTGACAGGGTATGATGGAGAGATTGACGTCCTGGCAAATCACTGCCATTGATTCAATTATTCTAATTCTGAATAAGAGCTGTATACAGTCTGTGTTTATGCTACAGTGGGCTTTTTTTTTTTTAAGTGACTGACATTCATCATATTGGTTAGACAGTTTTAAAGAGCTAGTCTTTGTTTTCTACAATGTTGTCAAGAGCAAATAGAGTATAATTTGTGGTATATTAAAAGGAAGCTGCTTAAGATGTTAGTTAAAGGTGCTTCAAAATATTCTAATTTATTTGAAAATGTATTTTGGAAATTCAATTTCTGCCAGTAGATGCTAAACATCTTTGAAAAACCTCGGGTCTTTAAGTACATGCCGGGGGCTTTTTACCTTTCACTTTGTCCTATGGTTTGCCAAACCCTTCAAGAATACAGACCTATGGCGCCAAACCCTAGTGTCTTACAGGAAAACTTGGTCCATATGCTGTGTTCCCAAGACATGTTCCATGTTAGAGACTCATTAACATGCCCAGCCAATGCTCATAGTTAACAAAGGGTTGAGGGGACACAATGGAAATCTGAGTTCGGTTTAGTTTTCCACTGTCTTAGAACCGCATTACATAAGCTGTTCACTGGGCTTCGTGGACATCTCTGGGACACCAGCGTCAGTGGAGCTTCTAGCTTGAATTTCCATTTTGAATTTTGTCTGTTGACATAATTTCACAGCACTGATATTGGTCATTTGGAAGTTTAGATCAGCAGTCTACCCAGCTGCTTTGTGCAGTCCATCAAGTTCCGTATGTACTACTGTGTGGGGTAAGTGAGACGAAACCCCCCAAATATGACTTTTGCCTTTACCACTTTAAATAACAGGATGCACCAATGCAAACCGTTTCATATACTAGCAAACAAAACATTCTTTTAAAAAAGTCTTAACAGTTTTTGGTGACCTTTTCAGAAAAACAGAGCAATGTATCACCCACGGCTTGAATTCCCGTTCTGTATCTATGGGCTGCAGCACGCATATTACCATCACCCCTTGCTACAGTCCACGTAAACCAGGGACGATTCTAAAGCACACCAGGTTTGAGTTTTTTTTTTTTGGGGGGGGTGTTTATTTAAAAATGAATTTAGTATTTTTAAATTTTTAAAATACACAACAGCAGCTAAATGTCAAATGACAGTATTTCTACTGTATTATTTTTGTACAAAAATCGGTGGAAAAAATAAACAGTGAAACAATCCAAACTGATGAATGGTGGCTCCATTTTGTATTCCCGTGTTTTTGAAAGACTGGAGGGTCAAATCATTAAGAAAAATATTTACATAAGCTATTTGCAATCATAATTAGGCGTCAGGTAATTCCGCATGCAGTTACTAAGGAGGATTCCCTAGAAGTCCAGGTGCTTCCCGCCTCCGGCCATCATGCCACAGCCTGCGCCCCGCTGCTTGGCGGCTTCTGCCAGATCCTGTTTGCGCGAACGGCTCACTGTGTCTGACAAGTCTGGAGGCAAATGCAGCCGCTGCGGTGCATTGTGAGAGAAGAAAGAAGAGAAAGTAAGTTTGCTTTCCCCACACACTTCAGAATACAATATTATGCTCTGTTGATAAGCATCTCCTCGTGCATATGAAACCTCTGCTCAAACAGTTCCTCAGGCGCAGCCCCTCGGCGTCACAACCCACTCTTACTCAGTTTCCACCAATCACAGCCACGGTTAGAAACTGGACAGGGTTCTCAGTGGGCTCACCTCGGAGTCCCAAACTAAACCTAGTGAGATTTTTCTTTCTTAGGTGGGAATGAAAACACGCAAACGTACAAATTGAAAAAATATCATAAGCTACTGTTTTTTTTTTCTGGTTCTGTTTTTGCCAGGGTCCTAAAATGCTTTTTAATCAACTAAGCTTTTCAGGAATGGTGGATTCCCATTGATGCCTGCTCCTCTTTGTGTATAAGTTGACCTGATGGCTTTATTTCATGACTATACTTTTTCTAGGGACTCCAGTTTTCACAGAAGCATTGGCATAGTGAGGAAAAGGCTACTGGGCAGCAGAGCTCTCAGAGGCACAGGTGAGCTAGCCACAGCATTCACTACATTTGCCTCAATGCACAACGCTGAAGTAGACTTTCAGAAGTATAGCTTGGCATTGAATACCCCACTCCTGGCTTCATCTCTCCCCAGATCCAAGGTGACTTAAGCAGATACCCCTTTCCCCTGCCAGAACTGCAGAAGTTACTGTGGTTAGAAAAAGAAACAGTTTTAAAAAGAATGTTGTTATTTTGAAAGGAATATAAGCTAGGGATGGTGGCACCCACGTTTAACGGGAGCACTTACAAAGTAAAGGCAGGTGAATCTTTGAGTTCAAGGACAGCTGGTCTACAGAGCTAGTTCCAGACCAGCCAGGGCTACAGAGAGAAACCCTGTCTCACATGCTCCAAAAGACAGACAGGAATATACAATTTTCTCTCTCTGACACACACACACTCACATACACACTCACTCACTCACTCCAAAATTTGGTTGGGAGGTAGTGGTAGATGGATCTCTAGTGTGAGTTTGACCTGATCTCCAAAATGAGGGTTTCAAGCCAGGGCTACATAGTGAGAGCCTGTCAAAAAAACACAAAAAACAAAAAGCAACCAACAAACAAAAAACCCAAAGCAAACCAAAACAAAATTTAAGGAAGGAGCTGACTTTTCTGATCAGTGGATCTCACATTAACAAGCATGACTGGAAAATAGTCAAAAAGAAATGATCTGCATTGAATACATAGAGACTTTTTTTTTTATTTTTTTTTTTTTTTTTTGATTTTTCGAGACAGGGTTTCTCCGTAGCTTTTTGGTTCCTGTCCTGGAATTAGCTCTTGTAGACCATAGAGACTTTTTATATCATTATTATTCTATGCAATATAGCAAAACATCTATTCACATGGCATTCTCACTGTATTATGTCTTACCGTAATTTTTAGGTCATTTAAAGTCTACAGGTGGATATGTGTACTATGCCATGTGTAGGATGGGCTTTTGCATGCATAGATTTTGGGATCTGCAGGGGATTTAGAACCACTCCTCCAGGAGTGATGACATGATTCTCCCTGTTGGGTGAGGCACAAAATAGGAGGGCAGGGCCACAGGCAAGACAGGATAGGATAGTGATCTTTCATAGACAACCTGGCTGGGACCTTCATTTGGAAAACTCTCTTCAATGAGAAAAAAAAGGCTAGGACCGTTTTTTGTCAAAATGTTTGCCCAGGAGCATATGCTCCTGCTGGAGGCTTTCCCGATGAAAGACTTCCTTGTTGTCACGTAAACACAAGCTGTGGGTAAATACTCAAGATATTTAAAGACATTTAAGATAATTTATGAAAGGTTCTTCCTTGATCTGTCTCAAATACAAACGCATTTCAGACGAAAGACACTGCTGTACAGATGCATGCTCAACAAAGATGTCGGGCAGGTGAAGAGGTCAGGAAACCCTGGGACGTTCACACGGAACCCCTCATTTCACCCTGGCACTCAGCCTGCCGCTTAGCTTAGTAAGCAACTGTTTCTTGAATCTCAGGTGAGACCTATTTGTTCCCAAATAACCCCTTCAGTTCTTTGTACTCTAGTGTGTTCCACAGAGGATTTCAGCAGAAATGAGAGCAGGATAAAAGGAAGCATGGCTCCCAGGTCTGAGGCTACAGGCGTCTCTGCAGTGTTAACAGTCACCGACCATAGGAGAAGCAGGGGGAAAGAGATCTTTAATTATACCTGAGTTATCCGAAACTTACAGAATGTTAGCATTTGTGTGCATGCGTGTGCACATGCCTGTGCACATGTGCATGCACAATACTGGAACCTCCCAAATGGTGAGTGGCCTATGGAGCCAATGCAGCAAACAGAATCTACAAGGCATTCTGCAGCGAGCAAAACACCTTCCACACACCTTGTCTCCGATAACCCACTGACATGAATAAGGCAAGTGCACAAATCACCCTCACAGTGAACTTTTTAGGTTTGGATACAAGAAAGGTAGAGTGGAGGAGAACGCTTTACAGAGATGGAACTTGAGTGGGCTCTTAAGTGATGGCCTCGGTTCTGACAAGGAGAATGAGATCTGCCCAACAGTGGGAGTACTACAAGGCAAGGTGGATTTGAAGGTCTAGCCTGCATGCACAATCTAAGCCGGAAAGCAAGTGCAGTTAGTTAGGACCAGCAAAATAAAAAATATTTTAGGGCCTCAACTATTTGCTTAGTGACTGCCTAAGCACCCCCTTCTCTTATCTAGGCAATGAGTGAGCCAACTGGCTAAATGCCATCCCTGGGAAAAAAGTGACATGTGACATGTTTGGAGATCTTTTGGGTTGAATGGCTTTGAAGAAAAGTCACATATTATTTATGTGCTACTTCTGATCATAAAAATTTGGGGATAATATGAGGAATTATTCCTAGGCAAATGCTTTACTGGAAAGCTGCTTGTAGATTTTGTCCTCTGAAAACGCCAAAAGAGGGCCGGGAAATCTGTGCCTCTGTGTGGTTTTGCTTGCTTTTGTTGATTCCTCGAATGTGGTCACCATGCAATGTAAATTCTTGAGCAGAGTGTTTGGCTCTTTCTTTCCTAGCTTCCCCTGTGTGCCGCATCAGTGTGATATGAGCAGCAAGAGAGGAGCTCAGGTCCCAGCCTTGCCAGCTGTGTTGGGGAGCTCTCCTCTGAGGCTTCCACAGCCTGCACACACTTGACATGTAAACGCTCAGGTGCCGCTGCAGCCCACATCTGTCTTCTGAGAAAGTCTACCACATGGTGACCTTCTTTAAGATAAACTGCAAGGCTGCAGTGTAAATAAACTTTTAGATGTTGAAATTTCGCTGAGAAACAGTTTAAATAACAATGAATATGGCAAATGCATGAAATAAATGATTCTCCACGTTATAAACCCAACCAGAGGATTCATCTCTCTTCATACCTGAGCAAAGGCCAAATCAAAAATGGATCTTTTATCCTGAGCTGAATATTTTTTCCATCTGATTTTGTTTCCTTAGATTTGGAGAGGGAAAGATTGCAGATGAGGCAGGGGTTGCGTATCTGGCTGGCTGGCAGCCTAGATTTTGTCTTAGTACCAGATCTGTATGAATAGAGGTATGGGAAAATAGGAACGCCAATGATTCCTACAGGAAATTGGGGGATTTTCAGGGAGGGATCTGATATGATCAATGGACTCCCTTCTGCCACTACTGGATGGAAGGGAACAGCCTACTAAAATGCCCTGGCAGGTTTAGAGCATCTGCCAAAGGCATCTGCATTCCACAGAAAGCCCAGGGTAGACCCCAGCAGCAGAGCTGATTGCTCTGTGGCTTCAGGTCTTCCCAAGGAGGATGGGACTTGGAGCTCTTCCCCAAGGCCTGCCTCTCCATTGTGCTGGGCTTAGCCACTATCTGTCCCTTCTGGGACAGTAACAAACTGGTCTTTTAGACACATAGAGTAATATTTCCTGTCTTAACGGTTCCCTAACTAATTCTCCCCCCCCCACCTGCCAATCCGTGCTCAGTACCCACAGTTCCCAAACAGAAGGGTCAAACTAATCAATGGAGATTACACCTGGATTTGAGGCAAACTGAAAGTAAATCCCCACTAAAGTAGTTCCAATCACTTTATATGTTTATATTTTGCCAAAAAAAAAAAAAAAAGCACCAGGCACTGTCTCTTTTCTGAAGACCGCTGATGGAGAGCATTCCACCCTCAGCAGCTGGGCAGGCACTCGTTGGCATCTTCACAGCTTCCTCATGTTCCCGGAAAGCCAGTCTGTGTTGCTCAGAACCACGGAACATTAATCTTTCAGAAGAGTTTTCTTTTTTTAATTTTTTTTTTTAGGATTTATTTAACTTTATTTTATGTGAATCCGTGTGAAGATGTCAGATTCCCTGAAACTGGATTTTCAGACAGTTTTGATCTCCCATATGGTTGCTGGGAATTGAACCTGGG